AGAGTAGTGATACCATGAGGGTAGGGGGAAGGTAGAAGGGGAGAAACTTTGATCTATGTACAAGCCCCCTCCCACAGGGAAACAAAAAACAGAAATGTGGGTGAAGGGAGCCAGCAGCTGGTGTAACATATGAGAATAAATTTATAAATTATCAAGGGTTCACGAGGGTGGTAAGGTGTGGGAGGGAGGGGGAAAATGAGGAGCTAATACCAAGGGCTCAAGTAGAAAGAAAATGCCTGGAAATGATGATGGCAACCTATGTACAAATGTGCTTGACACACTGGATGGATGGATGGATTGTGATAAGAGCTATAAGAGCCCCCAACAAAATGACTTCTTAAAATAAAAAAAATTCCTGAAAGACCTTTACCTGCTCCTCTTACTGAGATGATCAGAGTAAAGTAGCATGGCTTCAGGTTTGCCCTGAGGCAGACATTGTGCTCCTTACTTGTCCTTTCTCATGACGTCTCACAGCATTGCAGGAAGGAGCACTATTATGCTCCTCCTGGCTCAGTCCATGGTACAGAGAAGGCGAGGGACTTGTAACCAGTGGGCTGGGGGCTCCGGGAGGCCAGCTGCGGCTCTCAAGCCATATGTGGCTCTTTGGTACATACGTGTGGTTCTGAAGTAAAATTGGAAAAAAGAAGTTTAAGGATATTATTCAGATAATGGTGATTCCCTTGGGGTGTAAAAATATATTTATGACTCACAAATCATTTTTAAATTGTTGTGAGAGACAGGATTGGCTCTTCCATCTCAAAAGTTTGCCACCCCTAGGTTCTAATCTAGATTTGGTCTTGAGCCCACTCACTGTCTTACTCACCATCCCCAAAGCCTCCTTGCTATTAATCCTGTAAGGACGTGTTTTCTGGAGAGTTGAGTGCGTAGCTGTGTGCTATGTGCCACAGTGAAGGTAAGTAGATGTTAAGCTTGGGGAGGCTTGCAGAGGATGGCAAAGATCTGCACTCCTTGCTGTTTGTCCAGAATCTACTCACGTTTATCTAACACCTGCGATTGGCTAGGTACTGGAGACGCATGCGTGAAAAGACAGGTGTAGGCCCAAGTAAAACCATAAGAGCAGCAATGTCAAAAGTGCCACAGAGCAGGACAAAAGGCCACTGGCCTTTCCTGGAGATCCCGTCTAGAAGTCCCAGAAAGTATCTGTTGGAGAGATGAAGAGGGAGGAGAGAATGAGGGAAAGCTGTGAGCGCAGCTGTCGCCCTGTAGCAGGGAAACAATTATCTTCTGTTCTTTGTCCTTTCTCGCTATTTTCTTCTTTCTCTTCTCAGAGGGTCTAAGAAGAGACCAGATAGTAGACCTTGGGCTGACCTACAGGCCTGAGGTGCCTGGGCTGGCACCCGGCCCAGCTCCCAGCTAAGCTTGGCAGCACTGCTACCACACAGAAACGATTAATGTGCTTAATACGTCTTGAAACTCTCCTTTCTCTGTGTCTATGAGACCACACTTACTATTCCTTGTAAGCATCTCTGATTGGTTCTCCACAGCTCCCTCCTTGACTACTTTTCTTTTACCTGTTCCTAAAAGGTCATGCTCCTCAAAATTCCCAGCTCTATTTTTCTTTATGATCGCTAACCTTCTATGTGACTCTAGCTCAGCCCATCCATGCATTCATCAAATGTGTGTTTCTAGAGGAGTCTGCTACGCACTAGAGAGTGTTCTGAGGTCCGGAGCTACAGTGATAAAAGGCGTCGAGGATCCTTTAGCTGGTAACCTGGGAGGACGGGTGGAAAATCTATGCTATGATAGAATGACGAGAGCTTGAGGAAGAGACCCTGACCCCGACTAGGTGGTACCTGTAGAAGTGCGCCTTGGAAAGAGCGTTCAAACCCAATGGCCAGTGCGCACGGAAGGAGGCGCCAGTGGCACTCAAGGGAGGGTTCTCCTAGTTCGATGTGGATGCACACTAGAGAAGCCCTGGTGATGAGGCTGCAGAGAGGCAGGAGGAGATCACAAGGAGCCTGTTATACTAGGCTTTCGGTTGTGAACATTATTCATAAGGTTACGTTGATAGGTGTCAGTTAGGGGTGATTTGATCAGATGTGTGTCTCATAGTGATTATGCTACAGCAACATGGGGAAAGAATTGAGGAGGGCAAGATGAGCAGGTGCCTCAAACACAGTCTGTCAAAACTGGATCTCTCCCTCTGTCTTTGACTGAGTTCTCTATAGTGACATAGATTGATGGATGGATGGATTGCTTGACTTCATTTAAGGAAATGACGGAAATCCAGGGGTAGGCAGCACCTGGAGGTGTCTCCTGACCCACAAGGTGGCTGGGGCTGATGAACACACAACCAGCAGGTCAGGTGACAGGCTACTGGCTCTCAGGGGTGTGAAAGCTGCCGGATTCCAAAATTGGTAGATCAGATGGCAGGCCACCAGCTCATAGGGCTGTGCAGAAGAAGCTGGTGAATCCCAGAATCAACCGGTCAGATGACAGGCTGCTAGCTCAAGAACCAGAACCAGAGATCAGATGATGATGAGCTAGATGCAGGATCCAGCTCAAGAGAAAGCGTGTCAGAGCATGCCATATATAGTGGATACAGCCATGCCCACAGGAAATGCCCCGCAAACCAGCTGAGGGTGATGACTCAGACAAGGTGGCGACTTCAGTAAAGGTCCAACTTGTGTAAGGGCAGGATTACAAGATGATTCGCCTTCGTGGCAATATCAAGGTTAGGATTTACAGCACAGAAAATGGAATACAGTTACGTAATAGCACAAAATGATAGATAATTACATCAGATAAAGAAAAAATCAATAATACTGGAAATCACGGTCAGTCAAGTTGGCACATATTAAGGAGGGGGGTGATCCCATTAAATCCATGATGCTCTCTAATAAATATCTTCCACTAGTCCGGGACCGATCACCAGGACCATTCGTTTAGCTGATAAATCGCTACTTTCCTGACTTTGTGCACGACTCCTTGTTCTCAAGCCATTCACAGTGCAGTAGGGTAGACAGACCAGAAACAATGTCAGGCATGCATGGAGCGTAATCATTGGTAAGCTAAAAATAAAGCATATTAATTTTCTCATCCACTCTGTCATCAGCTTTATAGTATTTCTTAAGAACTTGGTGTCAGTTAATATAATGAATTGGAAGAAGACACTACAGTGGTAGCAGAGCAGGAAACGTTTTAAAAATAATAAGCTCCCTGCCATAACTCTAATTGATTAAGACTCGTGTGACCCTACAGGACAGAGTAGAACTGCCCCCTTTGAGCTTCAAGGCTGTAAATCTTTACAGAAGCCGAAAGTGTCATCCTTCTCCAGCTGAGCGGCTGGTTGGTTTGAACTATTAACCTTGCAGTTAGCGGTCAAACTCATAATCCACTGTATCACCAGGAGTCCTAGAGGAAGCGCTGGAACCTAAGTTAGAGTGACAATGAGACAGGATGGACAGAAAAGACATCAAGAGATGACAAGCAGATCGTACCAGGACTGTCACCATTGAGTGACAGTTAGTGTAGTTTGTCCTTGCATGGTTAATTGGCTGCTCCAGTGGACTAAGTTCCCCCAGGGCAAGAACCATGCTTCAGCAAATATTTCTGAGAGCCTCTAGAATGTTGGGCCCTCTTCATCAGCACACAAAGCCTCCAAAGAGCTTACATTTCATAGTGCTTAGGTCCTAATAGGGGAATAAGATAGACAGCAATAAGCAGAACAATAAGTAGATTGCATGACCCCTGTAATAAATATATTCCACTAGTCCAGGACAGACCACCAGGACCATTCATTTATCTGATAAGCACCTACCTCCCTAACTTTGCAAATGACTCTTTGTAAATTGCAAAATATAGCAGGAAGTGCCAAGACCGAAGGCGATAATGGAAGTTGAGCCGAGTAAGAGCCATGAGTGCTGACTGGGAAGAGAAAGGCAACAGGATTTAATAGTGTGATCCAAGTAGGCTTCATTGAGCCTATTTGAAGGAGATAGGGGAGTTCATTAGCACAATACTTGTGATACTGTAGGGCTTGTATTAGGAGGGTAGAGGCTGAAGCTTGCGTGTCCACTAGTTTTTACCCATGTGACCCATAGGGGAAAGATGGCAAGGTCTAGTTGAGACATGCTGGGTTTGAGGCTAGAATAAGCCGCAGTTCCCAGAGAGAGCAAAGCTCCAACACTTACGTGTTCCGGTTCATCCACACTGTAAATGTTCTCGATGCTTTGTCCTGCTCCCACAGGCTCAGATCATGCTGGAGCTGAAGACTCGCGTGGAGGAATTAAAGATGGAGAATGAGTACCAGCTTCGACTAAAGGATATGAACTACTCTGAGAAGATGAAGGAGCTAACAGACAAGTTCATCCAGGAAATGGAGTCCTTAAAGACAAGGAACCAGGTGTGTTTGAGAGACCGAGCCAACACCACAAAGAACCACAAATGCCCGCTTTGCTCACTCATTACCCATGCTGCCATCTCATAGTAGGATATGTGGGAATATCATATCGTAAGACAGTTGGGAGCATCAGAAATTCTTACAAGTGCAAAGCGAAGAAAATCAGACTATGAAACTCTTATACTGTATGGTACTAACTAGGCAAAATTAAAAAGGTGCAAAGTAATTTTTCAAAATACAGCTAGTGGTATAATTATCTGTGGGACTTGGGGTTATAGATCATCTAAAGTTTATTCTTTATCAACTTCTGTGATTTTGAAATTCTCTACCATGACAGGAGAGACTTATATATAAACAAAATGAAAAGCTAAGAGAAATATAGGAAGAAAAGAGCTCTCAGAAGAGGGATTTCTGGAAAGTCAAGATGGTTAAATAAAAGCAGTCTAAAAGTTCCCTACCTTGTTAGATAAGCCAAGCCCTCTGTTAAGTCCTAGGGCCGGTTCCCCTCTTACCTGCGAGGAACTTCTTCACGCCAAGATCACAGTCGGAGGCGTACATCTCAATGTGTGGGCCACAGAGTACCCCGTTGTTACCTCTGTATCCACATCTTCATGTCACCTGTCCAAGATGGGGCTCATCACTGACAAAGCCCAGTCAGTGGAAAAGAATGTAAGAAGGCAGGATGTGAGACTCCTGGGGCAGATGCTAATGTCAGTTAAAAGTGGCGGTTCCATTGTGGTCTCCTAGAACCGCGCAGGGGGAAAAATGAAGGCCTGAGAAATATTTGTGAATGAAGAAGACAATTAGTTCTTGCCCAAGGAGTGCTTTCAGTGGATATATAGAAAGGAGAATGTTCGTCTCTGTGTTTCAGGTTTTAAAAACAGAGAAAGAAAAACAGGACATATTCCATCGTGAACGCTTAGAAAACCTGGTGGAGAAGCAAAACCGGGAGCTACAAGACCTGGGTGAGGCCCTACGTAAAGATTTTGGGGGGAAAGGCAGCGGGTTAGGGTGGAGAACGTAGTCAGGGACCCAAAGACCCCCAGGTACTAAGGGATCGTCTACTATCCCTGAACTCACTCACGGTCGTTTTCGCTCCAGTGTGTCGGTGAGTTGCTGTAGGTGCCATCAAGTCCGTTGACTCTCACGCCCCTGTGTACAACAGAGTGAAAACCTGCACCGTGCTCACACTGGTTGTGTTTGAGCCTGTTTGCAGCCACTGTGTCAATCCATCTTGTTGAGGTTCGTCCTCGTTCTCACTGACCCTCTACTTGACCAAGTATGAAGTCCCTTTCTAGGGACTGAACTTTCCTAATAACATGTCCAAAGTACCTGACTTCCAACAACCATCGCGGCTGTATTCCTCCAAAACAATTCACTCACTGTCATCGAGTCACTGCCACTTCCTAGTGACCCTATAGGACAGGGTGGAACTGCCCCTGTGGGTTTCTGAGACCAACACTCTTTGTGGAAGGTAGAAAGCCCCATCTTTCTCCTAGAAGGTAGCTGGTGGTTTTGAACTGGTGACCCTGCAATTAGCAGCCATTACACCGTTACACCACCAGAGCTCCTTCTGGCAGCCCTGGTATATTCAATATTCTTCGTCAGCAATGTGATTCTTCTCTAGTCTTCTGTATTCATTGGCCAGCTTTCACATGCATTGAAAATAGTATGCATTGGGTCAGGCACACCTTAGTCCTCAAAGTGATGTTTTTGCTCTTTCACGCTGTAAAGAGGTCTTGTGTGGCAGCTCTGCCCAACGCAGCACCCCATTGGACTTCCTGACTGCTGTGTCCATGAGCACTGAAGCAGACAGCTTCAATCACTTCTCTTTTTATCATGCTGTTGTTAATTGGCCTAGTGGTGAGGATTGTTGTAATCTTTACATGGCGTTATAGTCACTGAGTTCTAATCACTGCTGAAGGCTTTGCTCTTCATCCGTGTTTCCAAGTCGTCCTCACTTTCATCAAGCAGGGCTGGGCCATCTGTTAAAAAGCCTTCCTCTAATCCTGATGCCATGTTCTTCTTCATATAGTGCAGCTTCTCCGACGATGTGCTCAGCACACAGATGGTAAAAGGATACAACCGCGATGCTCTCCTGTCTAGATTTTAAGCCACGCAGTATTACCTGTTCAGTGACTATGCCTTGGTCTGTGTAGCGGCTCGGCATGAACACAGTGAAGTTCTGGAGTTCCCATTCTTCTCAATGTTATACAGAGCTTGTTATAATCCACACAGACTAATGCCTTTGCATAGTCAATAAAACACAAGTAAACATTTCTCTGGAGGACGGGGGCCACATAAGGGACAAGGTTGAGAGGAGTCAAACTAGATACCCATTCTGAAATTCAAGGTTCCTGAGATTTGTGGAAGACCATCATGTAAACATAGTGGGTGGGCGGGGGTAAGTTAAATTCAGAGTCCATCTAATTCTTAACAATGAATTAGAAACTTGTTCCCAAGAGTCCCACGTAGCAGGAAACAGGATTTGGAAAAGTGCAGGTTTGCAGCCCAATAGACTGCCTTGGATCCCAGACTTACCACCTGGCTATCTGGGTGCCCTAGGGAGTCCCCAACCACATTGAACTTCAGTTTAATCTTGTGCATTAGTACTCTTTCAGGACAGTCGTCTTGGCCTGAGCCCCAAACGCCCTTGTGCATTTCCCTAGAAGTCCAGAAGGGAAAGAGAAAGAACTTGACCGCTGAGGAGATGGTGGAGCAGGGCCAGGCACTGGAATCTGGGCTCTGGAGGCTGCTGCCCCAGCTGGTGCTGAAAGGGCGTGGAAAAGCTCCCACCACTCCTGAACGTCCCTGAGGCTGGTGCTGGCCTCCCGCCTTAAACGCCGCCTTGCTTCTCTGCAGAATGTTGCAACAACCAAAAGCTGCTTCTGGAATATGAAAAGTACCAGGAGCTGCAGCTCAAGTCCCAGCGGATGCAGGAGGAGTATGAGAAACAGCTTCGGGATAATGATGAGACCAAGAGCCAGGCCCTGGAGGAGCTGACTGAGTTCTATGAGGCCAAATTGCAGGAGAAGACGGCCCTTCTAGAAGAGGTACTCCCAGAAAGCTACCCTGACCTCCCTCTCATTGCCCAGCCTGTCAAGGCCAACTGCACACAGTCTGTGAGAAGCTGGTAGCTTGTGAGAAGTACCCTTAATCTCCTTCCTTTCCTTCTTGCAACTTGAGCTTCATTCTGCCTTGTCAATACTTTGTTTTCTCATTGACCAGGAGACTCACTGAGCTGGGAAATGCTCGTTTACTTGAGGTGGAAATTCCTTAGATAGACCCCATTCGTTCCTATTATTCTATTCTAACTGTACCTCCGACCCATAAGAACTGGGGAGACTGTTCTAGAGCCTGCATAACTTGGAGAGGACAAAGACCCTTCAATGATAGGAAGATAGTTGCCCCACACCCCTTAGCAACCTCTGTTTCTTACAAAATTTAGTCATTATTTCATCAATTAACTCACCTACGCAATGTCCCATTGGTTTATCAGCCTGAGGGCTGGGGGTAAAAGAGAAATGAACCATGGGACCTGGAGGTAGTCACAGAGATGGACACCCATGGAGGTGTCCACAAGATAGTAGGCAGATATAGACAGAGTGGCTGAACGGACCCGGGAGATCAGGGAGGTTTGCAGATGCAAATGAAATCTGAGAGGAATACGAATTGGAATGAACTAGGAGATGAGGCAATGAGGGCCAGAAGGTCATTCCAGGCAGAACATAATCATAGTACGGTCAAGGAAAATATCTAATGTCCCAAGATAAAGGGAAGCTAGAAAGCGGTCTCTTCCTTCACATGAAATTGTAGCAAGAGCGTGTACTGAGAGAGGCAGAAAAGTTGTGTGGGGAGGAGAGATGGGTGGAAATGAGCTGATACCAAGGGCTCAGGTAGAAAGAAAATGTTTTAAAATGATGATGGCAACACATGTCCAAATGTGCTTGACACAATGGATGGATGTTTGGATTGTGATAAGAGCTGTACGAGCCCCCAATAAAATGATTTTTTTAAAGGAAAGTTATATGGAGGAAACAGGAAGTCTCCAGTGAGCAGGGAAGGTAATCAGGGGATAAACATGGTGGGCAGTGGTGGAAGGAGGTTTGAAGCTGACACAAGCCTCAGGAGAGGTCGAGCTTTGACCTAGGGGCAATGGGGAGCTGAGAGAATCCCTCCTCCACTTCAGCTTCATCTTCAGATGCGAAGAATGTTCCTTATCAGGGAAGAGGGGATGGAAGGGAAGGAGCTGGAGGCCTACTTTGGGTAGGGAGAGAAAGGAAAGTAAGAAGGGAGACAGACAGACAGGAAGAAAGCAGAAGGCCCAGGGACCCATGTCTGGAACAACCGCTTTCATTCTCGTATTGCTCCTTGGCCGCCTCCCATGCCTTGTGATCATGCTTCACATCGCATCTCAGGCCCCCTTCGCACACAGATCCTTCTGCGTCCTTCCTCTCCCGGCACAGCTATCTGTCTGTCTATCTCTCTCTCTCCTTCCCCGTCCCACTGCCTCTGTCTCTCTGTTCAGGCACAGGAAGATGTCAGACAGCAGCTACGGGAGTTTGAAGAGACCAAGAAGCAAATTGAAGAGGATGAAGACCGAGAAATCCAAGATATCAAAACCAAGTATGAGAAGAAGCTTCGGGATGAAAAGGAGTCTAACCTGCGGCTGAAAGGAGAAACGGGAATCATGAGGAAAAAGGTACCGGCCGTGCTCAGAGCGGCCCTGGGATGGGCAAGGGCAGGGCGGAAGAGACAACACTGAGGGTAGAAGAGGCAGAGCCTTCCGGGCGCAGCCCCACCCACATGGACAGCGGCGCTCCTGCCTGAAAACCCTCCCTCCAGGCAGCCAGGCAGCGGTCAGGAAAGGAGCTTCTCCCTGCAGCTGTAGGCAGACAGACCCTGAACACATGCCCCTCCTGTGAAAGGGCAGCCATGGTGGCGGGCTGTCCTCTGGATCGACTGGTAGTGTGCTTGCCCATAGAAATGACCGGGGGCTTGCTTTGGCTCCATGGGTCTTCATGCGTTTTGGAAACTAGCAATTCTGCAAGAATCTGTGAACTCAATCTTCCTTCATCCCATCTGTCAGGGAACATTTGCTCAACTTGTGCACTAAACATTCTTCATTCCCTGCGCCTTTTCCCTGTTCTGTTAGCTGTCCACCAAACGGTGCTGAATCACAGTGACCCTATAGGACAGGGTAGAACTGCCCCTATGTGGTGCTGAATCACAGTGACCCTATAGGACAGGGTAGAACTGCCCCTATGCGGTGCTGAGTCACAGTGACCCTATAGGACAGGGTAGAACTGTCCCTATGCGTATCCAAGACTATAACTGTTTCCAGGAGGAGGAAGCCCCATCTTTCTCCCAAGGAGCGGTTGATGGTTTTGAACCGCTAACTTTGTGGCTCATAGCCCAAAATATAACCACTACGCAAGCCACCAGGGCACCTGGTTCCTGCCCACAGGGATCTCGATAGGTGCTCTTTGGACTCTGATGCACTGGCAAGTTGGGTTTAGTCAGCGTTTTCTGTAGAATCGGAAGCAAGGTCTTGGAGGTGCTGTAGGCAAAGTGTGAGCCTGGGATGACCGCTGGCTCCTGGTGCAGGGCGCCCTGCGTGGCTCCTTTCCTGACTGCATGGGAAAGGAGTGGGAACCGAAGACTGATTCGTTCACGGGATGGAGTGAATGCTCACTGACAGCTGCGATGAAGGAATAGTCCCATCACAGAGTCTTGTAGAATTGCTAGCTGCCCAGATCATTCAGCCCCGTAGAGGCCAAGTTCAAAGCAAGCCCACAGCACTTTCTTTCTTGTTGTTGTTGTTGTTGTGAGGATTCTTTACACCTGCCATAATGAAAACACAAAGCAACAGTAGCCTAAGGGACGAAACATTTAGAAGCACAGAAAACATATCTATCTACCTTTCCCACTCTGTCAGGTTAGCTTGAGACGTTAAAGCTGATGTCACCCCCGAGGTTTAGCCTAACCAATTCTGGGATATTTTCTTCCAAGAGGAGAAATCCTATCTCCTGGTTTTTCTTGCAAAAGAAAACATTAGCAGCGTTAACCAGTCCTAGCGTTTCCTACTCTGGGGCCCCTACGTGGGCTACAGTGAGGGTGTAGAC